GAAGGGCCGACCCGGCTTCCAGACGAAGCAGCACTTGAAGAGAGACTAGGAGGCCTTGACAAGGCCAAGCCAAGGAGAGAAGAACCCGAGAAAAGGACAAAGGTAGCCTGGCTGGGGTGGAGATGGTAGAAAGATGGCACAAGATGGCTGAGAGATAAAAATATCGGGCTACCAAAGAGGACAGATGGCCAGCAAAGTTCCGAAAGGCCACCAAATGGAGGTCTGAGGGAAACCGACTAGAATCTTGCCAAGTCCCAGTGGTGTTCTAGCCAAGTATCCTTATGCAATGTGAGGTCCTTGAAGTGGCAGCGCAGGTTTGTGACATGCCTGGCTAAGCACAGAACTCGAGGCCGGGGCTCGAGAGCTGACTTCCTGTACACACAGAATGGAACCAAACTAACTGGTGGGCAGAGAACTGGTTCTCAGCCCATAGCTACCAATAGTGCAGGAGGAGACAAGGAAAGGAAGAGTGGAGGAAGAGAGAAGAGAGGAAGGAGGAGGAGCAGGCGGAGGGGAGGAGAAAGAGGAAGAGGCAGCATGGAAGAGCCACAAGCAGTTAGGAGCTGCTCGCTAAGGCTACCAGCCACGACAAAGGGACAGCCAACATGCGCCCTGTCAGGAGAAACGACCATTGCTGCTGCCCTACTGTCTGAGTACGACCGTGGGCTACGTAACTCTGAAGATCAAATTCCATGAAGTGAACTGTCCCCCCCCCTTTGCCCATACCCTACACGTGCTCACCAGCGCTGACATGCACACTTAGGCACAAAGAAGCATTTGCTGAGCTTGTTTTTCCCCACACAGTACTGAGGACAAAACGGGAAACTTTTACATGCTGGGCAAGTATCCTACCACTGAGCTGTACTTCTCTCTCTCTCTCTCTCTCTCTCTCTCTCTCTCTCTCTCTCTCTCTCTCTCACACACACACACACACACACACACACACACATTTTCTTAACCATTTTGACACAGAGTCTCACATGTGGCCTGAATCTCACACAATTCCTGTGCCTCAACCTCCCAAGCCCCTAAAATTAAAGACTTGCACCACCAAGTCCAATGCCAGGTAGCTTTTTGTTGCTGTGGGTCAGGTACAAAAAAAGGAGCACACAACAGCATCCCAGAAACCTTCTGAGGCTAGAAAACCCACCCCATTCAAGACATTCTTTTTGGAAGAGGGATGGGGAGGCTGGCCCATGCATTGCTGGGGTCCAGTGTCAACAAATTCATGTTAATCCTAGTCTTCTAGGCTCTGTCCTGAAGACAAAATTCTGTAACAGCAAGCTCCTGCCCTCAGGGCTAGGTGATGTAGAAAGGGAAAACTAAGAAAGCAAAGGGTTAGGGCAAAGTTTTTCATTTTTTAATGCTCAAATAAAATGAGTTTTTGTTTCTTTCTTTCTTTATTGTTTGTTTGTTCTGAGACAGAAAGGACAGGTCCAGGTCAGAATTTGGGATGGTAAGGAAGAAAGCAAAGGAGGCCTGCTGAAGAGAGATCCTGAAAAGCAACTCCTCCAGTCTCCGGACTTGGCCTTTAGTGTGGTCTGAAGTCCAAAGATGCAACAGCAGAAGTGAACTATCTGTGCAGGCCACAGGGGGACTGGAGTGTGTGACTCATGGGTTTTCAAACAACTTTGATAAAAAGGACCGTTGGCCATTCACCCTGCCCATCCTGAATGATTGCTTTCCACTTCAGGACTGTGGCCAATATTTGAGGTCAAGTCTCCCAAATGATGAAAGCAAAGGCAGTGGTTTCTGGATAAGGAGATAAGAGAGGTTGAGGATGCAGGCAGGTGAGGTCATTGCCACCACCAAGGCCAAGGCAAGGTCCCAGGGGATGGAAGTGGAAGGCTAAGTACTGAGTAGACACATCGCAGGGCAGAGTTCACAAGATGAGGACGGGATGCCTGGGTGGCTGGATTGCTTTTGAGACCTAGATCCCATTGAGTCTTGCCGTTGTAACAATAACCGCCACCTCAGCAATTCTGGTGCCAGGGACAGAAAGGACTAGGTGTAGTTGAGACCTGCTTTGCTGCTGGTCATGTATGTCCATGAACAAACACAAAGCATTTAGGTTTTGCTCTGGCAGGCAAGCTGCAGCAGCTTCCTAGAGACTAACTACCCTGTCCACCTGCTCTGCTCCTTGTCGAGCCAGAAGACTTTCAGGTTTATGGTAACAGCATGTCACAGGTGAAGAACTGAGGGTTCAGATAGGTGATGTTACTGCCTGAGGCCACGCAGGTGACCACTGACAGGAACTGTCTCTGAAGGCTAGCTCTGCATGAGCCCGTGCTTGCCCTATGAGGTGGCTGGTACAACCCGAGGAGGTGAGTGCCTTTGAGCAGACATTACCTCCATCCTCTTGTTTCTGGGAACTACTGCTTCACCAGTCCTGGAAAGGGTAGCAAAGAGGAGCTGGGACAGGGGTGGAGGGGAGACAAGAGCTTTGGCAGTCACAGAATGGCATGGAGTTCTCCCAGTTCTTGGCCCTCAGGTTGGGGACTTCTGCCCTTTGCTTTTCCCCCCTGAAGATAGAGGTCACAGAGCATCCTCATTTATTTTGACTCTGCCTTGTCAGGGAGTCCCAAGACGGCCCCCCTTTCCCTCTACAAAACGGTCTACTTCATCATTTTTTATTGTTTGATAATTTCATACATACATGCATATAAGGTGTTTTGATCAAATCCACCCCCATTATCTCCTCTCCAATTCCTCTACGATACCACCCACTGTAGCAGGCTTTTTCTTTTTCTTTTTTTCTTTTTTTTGGTTTTCTGAGACAGGGTTTCTCTGTCTAGCTTTGCGCCTTTCCTGGAACTCACTTGGTAGCCCAGGCTGGCCTCAAACTCACAGAGATCCACCTGGCCCTGCCTCCCGAGTGCTGGGATTAAAGGCATGCATCACCACCGCCTGGCAGGCTTTTTCTTTTAGGCCACCAACCAGCTCCCAAGTCATGACACAGAGACTTAGTATTAGTTTTGAATGCTTGGCCTTGTTCAGGCTCGTTTCTTTTAACTTAAATTAACCTGTTTCTCTTTATCTACTTTTGCCCCAGGCCTTTTTACTTTTCTTTACTTCCGTACATCTTACTTTCACTGCTTCTTGTGTCTGGGGGCTGGGGGCTGGGGGCTGCCTGCCTTCTGGTCCCCAGAGTCTCCCTTGTTATCTCCTCTTTCTTCCTGTTCCTCCTTCTCTCTTGTTCCTAGAGTTCTCCTATTTATTCTCTCTGCCTGCCAGCCCTGCCTATCCTCTCCTGCCTAGCTATTGGCCACTCAGCTTTATGTTAGACCAATCAGGTGCCTTAGGCAGGCAAGGGGAAACAAATGCAATACACCTTTACATCATTAAACACACGTCCTTATATCATTAAACAAATGCAGCAGAAACAAAACACATCTTTGCCCAGTTAAAATAATATTCCGTAATATCCCACCTCACCACTGTTCCGTCTCAACTTCTTGCACTTTAAAAAAAAAAAATCCACTGAGTCCCATTGGTGTTGCCTGTATGTGCACGGGTGTGGGACTATCTACTGAAGCGTGGGTAGCCTCTCAGGGGCTACATATCTGAAAAAAAAAAAAAAGACTCTCCCTCCCGTAATAGCAATCAATTACCAATAGCTCCTCAGATAAGGGTGGGACTTCATGAGCCGCCCCCCCTCCCACATCCATGCTAGGAACACTTCATCATTCTTTTGTGTGTTGTGTTGTGTTGTTGTTTGTTTGTTTGTTTGTTTGTTTGTTTTGAGACATGGTCTCTCTGCTATGTAGTCCTGGCTGTCCTGGAACTCACTCTGTTGACCAGGATGGCCTCGAACTCATAGAGATCTGCCTGCCTCTGCCTCCTGAGTGCTGGGATTAAGGGCATGTGCCACCACCGCCCGGCTACACTTCATTCTTAAATGGACTGTTGAAAGCCACCTTAAATTCAGTGTGGCTATAAACAGGAGGTTAAATACATTAAAAAATAAAGTCAAAGCTGGACATGATGGCTGAAGCCTGTAAGCCTAGTAGTCAGGAGGCTGAGGCAGGAGGATTGTAAATTCAAGGCTACACTAGGCTAGGCTTTTGATACAAAACCTTGGATCAAAACTAATAATAAATTGTCACTTGGAAGAATTTCTATCTGGGCTCACAGGGCCCCGAAGGTTCTCAAAAGCCTTTCCTTGGAGCTGGCTTAGAATTATTGTGGCATGACACTTTTCGATGAAACAGACAGGGGGCGGGGTGGGGGGAGGGTAGAGCCTGCCAGCACGCCTGCATATAATCTCTGCTTTTGGTGTGGCATGAAGCTCACTGATGAAATTGACTACTGCTTAATGAGCCACACTCCAGGGTGACCAGATCTCTGTTCTAGAAGCCGTGTCAAGGGGATTTCTTCTCAGAACCCCCAAATTCCTCCTAGGTCTTCTTCCCACTTCCATGACAGCCCCTGGTCCCTCCAAATCTTTAGGCCTTCAAAGGTATTCCTCCCAGATATCAAGGTGCTCAGGAGCTTAGAGTTAGCAAAGGCCAGAATAGTCAACTGACTGGGACTGTGGGATCCCAAGGGAAGGTCCGCTGGTATCTTTTAGGATACAACTGGCATGGAGAGATTCACGCCAGTTGTAAGGAAGTCACCCCCCCAGCTAGCCACAATCAACCTCCCTGAGGTGGGACAGCAGAGCTTGTGGGGAGAGAGAGAACTCACTGGCTTTTGCTTACAGAGGAGGGCTCGGAGGAGGAGCAGAAGTAGGAACAAATTATCCACCCCAAAGCAAAAGCAGGGCTGTACCCAGCGCCTGATGTGGAGGAGCTAATGGGAAACAGCTTGTTGGAGGGTGGGGAACAGAATTCAGGAACTGCTGGGGTAGCGCTGCTGAAGAGGGGGATGGGAGAAAGCGGCTAATTGAGACCAGCTGTTGGCTCCTCAATCTCAGAGATCTTTGGACTGTGCCCTGGGGTAGGCTCACACCCTCCTCTAAGCCACAAGAAACCAGCACAGGTTGCCCGGGCAGCCTGAGGCTCCTCTGCCCTCTGTGGCTTCCCAGATTCCTCTGAAGCAAAAGATTAGAGAAGGATCCTCATCCAGCAGCAGGACACAGCGGTGAACCTTGCCTGCTCCTGCCCAGGAAAGGCCGGGAGGAAGAGGCCATAAACCACCCAGACCTCTCCTCCGTCCCTTCATCTACTCATCGCATCTGGAGACCCAATGGCCCAAGCCCACTGGCGCTGCTACCCCTGGCTTGTTCTCCTCTGTGGTATGTGCACCCCAGCCTCTCCTGGCAGACAGCTCTGGTCTTTCTCCCCAGGCTCAGAAAAGTTTGGAGTGAGGGCTAAGACTCAGGTTATCTCTTTTCTCTTTGTCACCCTGTCATGAAGAAAAGGGCCCCCTGCAGGGCCTTCATGACTTGGATCAAGTCTACTTTGGAACCTTTCCACGCCCGTGACAAAATTATTTCAGCACTCATTGGGTTGATGACTTTTGAAATGATGACTGCAGAAAAGGCCTTGCAGAAGGGAGACAGGTGGAGCACACAGCACAGACTGCAAGAGGTTTAGAACCCGTTAGGACTGGAGGACTTCTGCCCAGAAACTTCCTCAGAGGAATCCTTGAAGGTCCAAAGATGGAGAATTCCTGCTAAACTGACTTAACAGGATTCTTGCTGAAGGCAGGCTAGGGTAATCAAGTATCAAGGGTAGAGAGATAAGGAATCTGATCCACTCAGATATTGAAGGGTGGAGGTTCTCCCTAAACTGACTTAGCAGAATTCTTACTAAGACAATAAAAGCCCGGGAGGACAGGGCAGGTACAAAAGGTCAGTGTTGAGGTCTTGTCAAGAAAAAAGACCAATGGGAGAATGCCAGATCACATCTATGCTGCCCTGTTTGTTTCCAACCAGGTACCCAGTTCAGCTCCCTACCCCATCCCTGGTCCTGGAGAAATCTTGTTTTCTGTCAGCAGTACCTGCTTATTAATTCAGCCTCCAGTGAATGAGTAGCTCCTTGGTACCACCCCTGTCGAGAGAACACAGAGATCCTGGCATTCAGAGGAACGTGGATTGACTAGGTCCCACTGCCTAGGTTGGCACCTTAGCACTGCCATTTTGCTCCTATGGAATTGGGGGTTCATTTTCTTAGATTAATTTCTTAGCTTTCCTTTGAGTTTATGAGGCCAAGTCATTCAAGCAGGGCATTCATGAAGCCACTTATAAGGTAAAGAATAGCACCTCCCTGTACTCAGTCCTCATGGTCTCCAGGGAAGTATGTGCCCTAAGTGTCAGGATGCGCAAAGAGGTCATTGGACTTTCAGGTCAGGAAGGATCTCTAATCCTGCCCTCCTTTACACAGTCCCAGAGCTAATGGGGCATAGCTCAGTGCCTGGCGCACAATAGGCACTTAAAAAACATCTGTTAAGTGAGTATTGAGGTGCTTTCTTAGGATCTTACCAAATTTGGTACAGAGCCCAAACTGGAAGCTAGATCTCTGTATACCGTGACCCTTGTGTGGCACCCCTCCACACCCACACCCACACCCACACCCTTTCCAGGACCACTTCCTATGTTTGACCCAGTGAAAAGATGGAAACGGAACTCCTATTTCTTTGGTGGTGCTGAGAAATAAAACTGGGGACTTATTTTTGAAGTATGCAAATGCTTTACCACTGAGCCACACTGCCAGCGCCACTCTCTGCCCCCTCCTTAGATGGCCTGGCTTCAAATCTCCATCTAACCACTGATTCGCTGTGACGAAACCTGAACAAATTATGAAACCTACCTGGACCTTGGCTTCTTCCATTATAGAAGATGAATAATAATACATTTCTCATAGGGTTGTCACAAATATCAGAGGAGATACAGTTGTGGCCAATTGACAATGGGACCGCATTCTTGGAAATATACCATTAGGCAGTTTTTTTGTTCCATTACAACATGGAATATACTTTAAAAAAACTCACATGGCTATAATATCATTAGACTGTATAATATTGGGGTCATTGTTATATATGTAGCCCTTGGTTGACCTCAATAGTGTCATGTGGTACATGACTATGCAGCAGTTAGACTGCCGAGCTCATTTTTATTTTCTTCTGTATTATCTTTTGAGATAAGTTCTCATGTAGCCCAGGCTGCCTCCAGACTTGAAACATAGTCAAACATAATCTTGAATTCCTGCCTCTACCTCACCAGCATTGGTGATACGGGCATACAATGCTATGCTCAGCTGTGGATTACTGAATTCCATATCTGGCACACAGTAGGAGTTTTTTTTTTAAATGTTTAGTCACCTTTCACCACCTAGTGTTGGAGTAGGATGGATTGTTGTCTTGGATTTAATCAAAGCCTAGAATACTAAGCAGAGACTTGGACTGTGAGAAAGGGTGTAAGTGACCCTTGTATTTCAATAAATCATACGCACACACACATGAAAGTGGAAGGGATTATCAAGGTCCTCTAGGGCATTTCAAAGAAAATTTGATTTAAAACTTTAATTTATTCAATTTTCCCACTTTACTAGACACTGAAAAGACACAATTAGATTAGAGGGGGGAAATGATGTAATGAACACAAACCCATCCAAAAGTGGCAATCACTTGTCAGTGAGCATGACCCAGGGTACCATCCAGTTCAGACTGATTTCCCATGAAATGTGATTATTTTTAGTCTCCAGCATGGTGTGTTTCAAAGGATACGGGTCCTACAGGCTAAGGGAAGATGTCCCTTCACTCTGTAAGAGCTCTCTGGTGCCCAAATAACCCTAGTTTTGTCTCCTATTTCCTAGCATGTGCCTGGAGTTACCCACAGCCTGGGTACCTTGGAAGAGAAGATGTGAGAAACTGTTCAACTAACCCTCCGGTGAGGCCTTGGCCCCATTCCCATATGCCCCTCCCACCCATCATTCTCTCCATCCCCTATTGGCCCAGTTGCTAGCCTCTCCTACAGGCTTTCTTCTGATTTCTGCATGCTGGGGTGCCTGTTTCTTATTAAAAGCAATCAGCAGTGGCTCAGGTATCTAACATACCCAATATGGGTCCTCCGCTCCTCAGACCCACTGATTTCCACAGCTTGTTGGCTTCTGCCCTGGCCTGGATCTGGGAAGCTTCCATGAGGAGGGAGGTAAAGAGGGTAGATAGTGAGAGAGACTGCTGGCTGGCCTTGAACTGAGACTAGGCAGAGGCAAGGAAGGAAATGGAAGGAATGAAAATAGAACTTCTAGAGCAGTGGTTCTCAAGCTGTGGGTCACAACCATTGGAAAACGTATTTCCGATAGCCTTAGGAACTGAGATACCACTCAGTAGCAAAATTATAGTTATGAAGTAGTAACAAAACTTTATGGTTAGGGGTTCCTGAGACCATTGGAAATCTGTGTTTTCCAATGGTCATGACCTACAGGTTGAGAACTGCTGTTCTAGAGGGAAACTCTGAAGAGGGAAGTTCAAAAGGATGGAGGGAAGAAGCCAGTGAGCTATAAGATCTATCTGAAAGGCAAAAGACGGTTGGCAAATGGGAGGCAAAGGGAAGAAGGTGGCCGGCTTCCCAGCTGGCCTCTAAAGTGACTGTTCCCACAACTCCAGAGGGTAACGAACTCCAGGCAGGGATGGGCTCCAAAGTGTGAGGACGTGGACAAGCTCCAGGAGTAGTCTGAGCCACCGGGTAAACATAGAACATTGCATGGGATAGCAGCTTTACAGGACCATGAGGGCCAGCAAGTGAATGAGCAAGCCACAGCATTTTTGTATTCAAACAAATCTAGATTTCTTGTTGAGGAGAAGGCAAAGAAAACAAACAAACAAGAAAAAAAAACCCATGGTTTTCATTTGAAAGATAAAAGGCCCTCTAAAGAAATATCTGGCTTGAAGAGGCTCTTTCTGGGATATGTCACAAATACAGGGGTACTCATTCACTCTCTGGCATTATTTGGGGTCAATGGGTAACTACTGGAAAAGTAGGGTTGCTGGATGAAAAACAGGACACTTGATTACATTTAAATTTCAGGTGATAATATTTTGGTATTAAAATGTGCCCCAAATAGTGCATTGAACATACTTAAATTAAGATATGATCCCTCGGCGCCGGGTGGTGGTGGCACATGCCTTTAATCCCAGCACCGGGAGGCAGAGCCAGATGAATCTCTGTGAGTTCAAGGCCAGCCTGGTCTACAGAGTGAGTTCCAGGACAGGCATGAAAACTACACAGAGAAACCCTGTCTCAAAAAAAAAAAAAGAAGATATGATCCCTTGCTTAACTGAAAGTCAGATCTAACCAGATAGGTGGCAACTGTACTCTCAAGATATCCCCCAAAGGCCTGGGAACAGGGATGAAACCCCTGTCATTTTCAACCACACATCCAGTGGACATTCAGGTCCCTTAATTGTCACAAAGGGTCTTTCTTCAAGCTCTACAATACCTCCATCCCTACTTAGCTTAGGTTTCTTAATTTAGACTAACAAATACTATCAGCAGCCAGCTCACTCCACCCTCTCCCTGTTTTTTAGAGAAAGGGTCTCACTATATAGTTTTGGCTGCCCTTGAACTCTTTATGTAGAGCAGGCTGGCCTTGAACCCACAGAGATCCACCTGCCTCTGCCTCAGCTGACCTCCTCATTCTCTTCTTGTTTGTTTTGATTTTGTTGTTCTTTTTGTTTTTCAAGACAGAGTTTCTTTGTGTAGCCCTGGCTGTCCTGGCACTCACTCTGTAGACCAGGCTGGCCTTGAACTCACCACTGCTTGGCAACCCCAAGACTCTTAAATATAGCCTAAATACCCCTAAACTCACCCTCAGGAGAAGCTGGGGGCTCTGCTAGAGGCAAAGTCCTAAATGTCATTTTCTTTAAGCAATCCATATGTTTGGGTGTCTTCCTGTTATCTGTCAGCACCTGCCGGTTACTGCAGTCAATACAACAGTGCAGCTTGCAGCCCTCCGCCAGCAGATGCAGGCCTGGAATCTCACTGCCTACATCATTCCAGATACAGATGCACACATGGTAAGGACCAACTCTGTTCTTTTTTGCCCTCTCCTTCTCCCATACTTGGGCTTGTTGGTCTCTAAACAGAAGCCACAAACAAGAGGCTAGCAGGAGTTGGAAGCTGAAGACAGAGAAAGCATTTCACAGTGAAAAGGATGAAAATGGAAAGCTCACATACACTAGTTTAAGGTTAACTGAAAGAACGTACCTCTTTACACTGGAGGAAAAACAGGGCCAAAGTTGTTTGACCACCCAGAGGGCTAGACTATACAAGTGTGGGGAGAAGACTCGGGGGAGAAAGCAGACAGAAATCCAGGTGACGATCTGGAGCAGACCTCCTTTCCCCCAAATAGTAGTGCTGCCAATCAGCCTACCTTTTCCCACCAGTCACTCCGCCTCTACCTCATCTAGCTCCCCACACCAACCCAGCGAGAAGAAAAGGCATGTTCAAAGTCAATGTATCTGCTTCAATTCATTTCTGACCTGCTGGGGATGCTTAAGAAGTTTGACCAAGCATCTGAGCTTCTTTCAGCAAAAATAACAATGATATATCCTCAAGGATGAGAAGCAACATAAAGTCATCTCCCAGTATCTATAGTCTAAAAGAATAGTGTTTCAACTCCCTTATATAAAATGACATAGTGTTTGCATATAGTCTATTCATAACCTCCCATATGCTTTAAATCATCTCTAGAAGGCTTATAATACCTAATTTAATTCAATGCTATATAAATGCTACCATACTGTTTGCTTAGGGAATAATGACAATAAAAACATATACCAAATACTGTCCCAGTTTTTCCATTTTTTTTTTAACCAAGGCCAAGGTTAATAGAAGCTGCACATACAGAATTCATGGATATGGATATCTATCTGGCCAATAGTGGATAAAGCCCGGTGCAGAAGTTATTTATGAAGTACCCAATACTTCATAAATGTGATAGACTCAGGAGGAAGACATGATATTTGAAGGGGAATACCAAAAGGCATGGCCCGAGACCATACTGAATTTGCATTATGGCCATGGTGGTAAATTTTGCAGAACAATCTGGTGTAACCAAATCCAGTGCTACACTGTGGGTTCGACAACCCAAGAGACAGTTTTTGAAAGGTGAAGAAGATAGTATGCTGAAGGAGTTACAGAGGCTTCCTGGAAGAAATGCCAGGTGTGGCAAGACAGGAAAAATCCGAGATGTCCCTGGGGCCTTCCACCTGGCATCTGACTCCATGAAGAAAGCTAATGATGGTGTTGTTGATTTCCTAGAGTGAGTATATTGGCAAACACGATGAGAGGCGAGCATGGATTTCCGGCTTCACAGGAACCGCAGGTAACAGCCATTACCCACTCTGATTGCTTGTGTTGGTAGACCTGAACTGATCTGTAGAGGACCTGGTATGGCCAGTTCCTCAGCACCCAGGACCAGAGGCTGGTGTTCATTCTCATTCTCCCCACCCCTATGAACCCAGCATGCTCCTCAGGTCAACTGTCTCATACCCCTGTGGCCATAGTTCTGCATAGGAGCTGGCCCTCCTGGCTTCCTTCCCATGCTTGGCTGCCTCTGCCACAGCCAGGCCCAGCACAGTGCTCCTTGGATCTGGTTTCTGAAGCAATTGCTACTTCCACATCTATTGACAAGAAACCTGCTCTTCCTTTTACATAATAGCTCATTTGGGGATAAAGTTTTACTTTATAGGATCTTTTTACAAACAACATCACTCTATATGGCCAAACGAGACATAAACATGGAGGCTCTCAATGCTGTCTTGTCTCTGTTTCTGAAGGGCCCTCCTATCCTGATCCTGTTCCCTTAAATAAAGGCAGCTTCCTTTGCTGACCTTTACACATTGCTTCCTGAGCCTCAAGGTGCTCTGCCTCCCTCATTGTGAGCCCTTATTCTCTCTCACAGTTATTGTATTCGTCTTCCCCACCAATCCTCAGATAGGCACCTAGTTTGATGTCTTTATCCGCCCTCATCTTTTCCTGAGAACACCGACTACGTGCAGCACTAGCTCCTTTGGACTTGCAGAAGCCAAGCCGATTCTTGGCCTCCTAAAAGCTCTAACGGCCCTCTATAGGAACCTACAACACAAAGCAGAGCTGGGGTGCCAATGAGCTCTCTCTGTAGGTTTCCCCAAAGCGTGCCTTCAACATCTCCTACCTCTCTTCCTTCCAGTGGAGGAGAGACGCTGATTCGAAAGGTCCTTGTGACAGAGCCAGTACTACATTACACACCCAACAAAGTCGCGCCCCTCACTTTCATCTTCGTCCTCACCCCTAGACTGCTGTGCTCTGCTGCAGGTACTGCCGTGGTGACCGTGGGGAAAGCAGCTGTCTGGACCGATAGTCGTTACTGGACTCAGGCTGAGAGGCAGATGGACTGCAACTGGGAACTCCATAAGGAAGGTAGAAGGCCCATATGGATTTGTCCCCCCAAGCCCTGGACCCTAGACTAGCTTTGGGGAGATACAGGTGAGTGGCTGTCTGCAAGGCTATGCTTGGCCTCGGTGGGAAGTTCGGCAACTACGAGAGCATCTCTGATCTGTCAGGCAGGACTGTCGCAGACAGAAGTCTGGCTCTGGGGTCTGAGGCTGGTCTGCGAAGTGACTTCCGTGTTCCCTCCCATCTTTTAGCTAGCGTCTCTTCCATTGTCGCCTGGATCCTTGCTGAAGTCCCTGCTGGAGGGCATGTGGGCTTTGACCCCTTCCTCTTCTCTGTTGGTATGTTTTTCTCTCAGTCTCTGGACTTGCATGAGCTGCCAAGGAGGGTGACTCAGCCTCCTGGGAGGTACACAAACATATTTGCTTAGAATGAGAGGCAATATGACCACAGGGTATCTTGAAGTTGTGGCTGTAGAAATATTTTACAACAAAGAGATATTCCTGGATTGTATAATTAAAATATGCTAAAAGAATGAATACAAACTTTACACACAAAAAAAGCAATGAACGCAGAAAGCCAACCTAGAAGACTTAGAATAATTAAAATCCAGTGGGTAAATAGGTCTGGATGTCCTTGACCCCAGAACCATCCCTGGGTCCTAGGACTCTACCAATTATGATACTTGGGATCTCTTAGAAGACATTTTCTGAAAGGTAGCTTAGAAGGATCAAAAGTGTAGAGAGGGCCTGTAAGCAAAAGAGGGTTCCATAGAATACAGTTCTCCAAGTTCTGGGACCCCAGACAGCTGGACAGCCCATACCATCAAAATAGAATTCATGAATATGCATTGAAAAGCTTCTACTTCCAAACAAACTTCTTTGTTGGCCTATCCACAGCCCTGAACATCACCCTTCCCCTGAATGGTGACATTAATTCCTAATAAAAAATGGTTTGTACCTCAGAGGGACTGTCCTCAATCACTGACACTTTAAAAAGACCAGATTAGGGGGTTGGGGATTTAGCTCAGTGGTAGAGCGCTTGCCTAGCAAGTGCAAGGCCCTGGGTTCAGTCCTCAGCTCAGATTAGGGTCAGGGGTATAGTGCAGTGGTAGAGTACTTGCCTGGCTTTGGCAAGGTCCTGGATTCAATGCCTAGTGCTGGGACTGGGGTTGGGGCAGTGAACGGCAAGTGTAGCTCGTTGACAGTGGCCGGCCTAGAGGTGGGAGTAGAAACAGGTTTGCAAAGCAGAAAGAGACAGATGGAAGACACGCTGGGAAGAAGAAATAGGCATTTCAGAGGGCCCAAGCCTAGGGCAGGCTTTGTGGGGCTGGAGCCATAGGAGCCAAGCAAAGTCAGGGCTGCAGGACGGACTCACTTTGCCTAGACCAGTTTTCCTTGAGTTGTAAATGGACAAGGAATAAGGGACTCCTTTCTGTCTCTGCAGATTCCTGGGATGACTATAATGTGGAATTCCATAACTCCAACAGACACCTGGTATCCGTGACAACCAACCTTGTGGACCTGGTATGGGGGTCGGAGAGGCCCCCAATGCCAAGCCAGCCCATTTATGCCCTGCCAAAAGAATTTACAGGTGATTCCATCAGCCTATTGTCCTTCCCGCTTCCCGGTCTGCACAAACAAAGGTCCCTCCCAGCATGGATCCCCAGTGCTGCTGCCTGTTTTTTTCCCCTGAAAATGTCATTAACCAAGGCAACAAAGTAATGGTTGACAAACTACCTGAGATGCATGGTTAAAATGTAGACTGCTTTTGTCTCTCTCTCCTGAGTCCAAAGGTGCCCAGACTATATTTAGAAAGCACTGGAATGAGCAGTATTCGCATTTGCAGGAAGAGATAGCAGAGAGGGAGCAAACAGGAGGCTTGAGGAGAGTTCAACAACAAAACCCCCCTTTCCTTGAAAAAAAAATTGTTTCAGGTTTTGTTGTTTGGTTTTGGTTTTTTGCGACATCAGTTGTATTTTTTTAACGTATGGATATTTTGCCTGCACATTGTCTGTGTATCACGTGCATACAGTGCTTGTGGAATCCAGAAAAGGGTGTCAGATCCCCTGGGACTGGAGTTACAGATGGTTGTGAGCTGCCATGTGGGTGCTGGGAATCGAACCCACATCCTCTGAAAGAGCAACCAGTACTCTTACTGTTGAGCCCTCTGCTCCCTCCCCCAAAAAAAGCTTTCTTAAGAGAGAAGTCCCGTGATCTTAGTTGTTTATCTGGAAGTGGAAACTGATTGGTCATTTGGCCCTTTGCTTCTGGTTCTGCTCTGAGGAGGAATTTAGATTTAGGACATGAATGACTTGGACAGAAGGAGTCAGTGACTAAGTTCAGTGTCAGTCTGTGGCATGGAAGAGGGTTCAGGTTTTGGCTGGACCACAAAAGAAGGTTAATTGACCCAGAAAATCCTAACATCTGTAACCCTGACCTCATTGGCACTATCGTAATCTGATATAAAAGATCAGTTTACATTATGGTTCTTGTAAGCAATCACTAAATCCCGACCAGGGTCTTGATCACTAACTAATTTTACCTCCCTGGAAATTCTGAATGGACCAGTGGAGATGCATTTCTTGTCCCATTGAGCAATCTGCGAACCCCCTTTCCACATACAATTCCCCATATGATTTCTGATTTAGAAAGGAGTCATGAGAGCAGGAGGGGAATTTCAAAACTGTGGCTCTGAGGAAACAAGTAGAAACGGCGTCCAATTTCTTTCTGCACTCCAGTGTGACTTGCAGAATCATCTTTGTGCACAGCCTGACTTAGTTTTTAAAGGGAATGGCTATCTATGAGTATGTGATCATAAAAACCACTCACCTTTCTCAGCTATCAAAGGCCACCATGGTGCTGGGGAAACGTGAGGATAAAAGGATTCTGATAAAAAAGGCTACCCGGGATTGGGACAGAATTCACATGGATTTTGTCACTTCCCATAAGCTAGGGAATGCTGAGGCATCTCTAGTCTTCAAGGAAAAGCCATTTGGAGTCAGAGCTCGGTCCAGAAGCCAAAGAACAGAGTTCAGCTTCAAGACGCCTAGACAAAAATGAATTTTCCTCTCCAGCCATGTTACGTTGTTTTTTTTTTTTCATGTGTAGGTTTTAAAGGTAGGGTTGGGGGGTAGAGCAAAGGCAAAGAGTGAAAAGTTAGCCATTCACACATCAGACCATTTACGTGTGCTTTTGTTTTCTCAAAATGGATCATAGTCACACATCTTTCCCTTTGTGAGTTACAAGTTGCTGGGGGCTTTTGTTTTGTTTTTGAGACAGGGTCTCACTCTGTAGCCTAGGCTGACATTAAACTTACTATATTGCCTAAACAGGCCTCCAACTCACGGTGCTCCTCCTGTTTCAGCCTCCCAAGTGCTCGGATTAGTCATGAGTCACCATACCAAGTAATACTCATGAATTTTAATCATAATTTTAAGTGAAAGGAGCCATATCTTGTATGATTCCATTTCTATGAAGCACTCAGCATTGGCAAACCCATAGACAGAAAATAGATTAGTGATTTCCTGGGGCTGGAAGGAGAAGAAATGGGGAGTGACTCCTTAATGGGTACAAGGTTTCCTTTGCGGATGTTGAAAATGTTTTAGAATTAGATACTGGCAATGGTTGCACAATACTATGATGTTCTGAAAGCCAGCTGAATCGTGTACTTTATCTAGGCTAAAATGATAAATTTTATATTATGTCTGTTTTATCAGAATAAAATAACCCTAAAAAGTATATCATACCCAAAGCTTTTGGTTCTAGTTAAGTAGTTTTACCCATTTGCATAAAGTTTTTTAATAGCATTAAGTTTTCATTTCTGTATCTGGGCCCAAGCAGGAGTCTTGATGCTCATGACATTCTGCCAAGTTTTTTTCCTAGTGCTGTCTAGAGAGAGACTTTACATGCCTTGGAGGAGGCAGAAATAGGAGCTGAAAACTGAACTTCTAGAACCTAGATACATGCATTCTAGAAAGGACAGGACTGGACAAAGTTTGAAGACTACTTAGAAGACTGAAAATGTTAAAAGGAGAGCTCAGTATCTGTACAGATGAGGACTGTGGGCCAGGCCCATCACACAGACCTGAGTTCAAATTTCAGGTCCACCCCTTCAGCTATGAAACCTGGGCAAGTCACTTGACCTCTCTGCAGGCTCACTTTGCTTATCTGTAAAATGGTGCATGTAAGCATTCAAACAATGCCCAAGGAGTGCTTGGTCCGATATCTATGGCTTCTTGAGTGCTGGAGGGTACTGCAGGGAAAGTTAAACACCATCCCACTCCTCTCTCCCTTTGCCCATTTAAGCAGCTCTTCTGTTCCTTCTTTAGAGTTATTGACAGGTCAAAAAAAAAAGCAGTATGGGGCTTAGCGAATGCCTTTCTACAGCTTTATAAATGTCAATCCATTGGATCTTTGCAGCAAACCTATTGAGGTAGATACTGCTGTTACGCCCACCCTCATCTAACAGATGTGCCAAATGAGAGACAGAGGTGTCAAGTAATTTGCCCAAGATCACACCCAGTTACTAATGGCAGGATGATTATTGGAGCGCCATCTGGATCCAAGGCCTACATCATTAATAACACAACTGTTTGAAGATAGAATTCTATTGCTTTTGGAAACATAGAAAGCTGGAGTTGTTCAGTCATCGAGCACTTGCCCAGTGTTCAAGGCCGTTGGTTCCATCTCCTCCACCAGAAATAAAGGAAAACTCCTACCCTTAGGGAGTTTCGCAGGAGCCCTGTGCCAAAGACAAGGTGTGTCACTCATACTTTCTTTGGGTTCCTTTGCTTCTAGGGAGTACTTGGCAGGAGAAAGTAACCACCGTCCGAAGCTATATGCAGAACCATACCATGGCTCCAACTGGTCTCCTCCTATCAGCACTTGATGAGACAGCTTGTGAGTGGGAATTTATGAATGCAAATGGGTCCTGTAGTCCCAAGCCTCCTGGGCCTTGCAGCATACAGCTCTTCCTGAAATAACATATTCACCAGCTGCTAGGAGCTCCATGGTCGTGGCCCACGGGAACTCGGAGGGATTAGACAGCAACTGCTCAGGGCTGCAGAAGGAGGAGGCCAGGGAGCTCCAAACAAGAGGGGCTAGCCCACAGGCCACCCGAGAAACACACTGACTCTGTCTCCTTAGGGGGAAGAAGGCCTGCAAAGCCGCCAGCAGCCCTGGCTGTCATCCGGGCCACTCAATACCCAGAGTAACCCTACTCTGTCCCCACATAGCTGAGGGCTTTCTGCTCAGTTCCCATGGCTAGGCTTCAGACATTTGGAGGCTGAACCAATACTGTGTGCTGAATGTCACCTATCTACATTTTATGGGGGGGAAGTCCATAGCTCTCCTCACCATCTCAAAGATCTCTAACACCGAGAAGCAATCAGAGGCAAACGCCACAAGCTGCTGTCGTAATCTTGAGGTCAAAGCAAGCAGTGGGCCATAGGTGTCAGGAATGCCTGCCCCCATGCAGAATGGCCTCAAAAAGTCGCATCAATTCTTTTTTCCAGGGCTCTTCAACCTCCGTAGTAGTGACATCCCCTACAACCCCTTCTTCTACTCCTACACGCTGCTCACGGACTCTTCTATCAGGTACAGCTTCTCCTTGCTTACTGTTGTGAATTTCTTCCAATTTCCACTCTATCCAGTACCACTGACCTCACAACCTTCCGGTGCTCATGAGTTTGGGTGCCTGCCACAGCAGACTTCTCTAGGAGACGTCCCACTGGCTATTCTTAACCCTCTGATTTTGGGCTCTCTATGCTGGCTTCCAGTGACCTTTGGAATCAGAAGAGTGGTATGTGCCCCCAGTTCCTTGTGTCCTTCTTAGTAGGCAGGCATTCAGGGCCCTCCTGGTCTTCCCTTTCCACCTAGGTTGTTTGTCAACAAGAGCCGCTTTAGCCCCGAGACCCTGCAGTACCTGAATACAAACTGCACGTCACCCATGTGTGTGCAGCTTGAGGACTACAGTCAAATTCGTGAGAGTGTAAAGGCCTATGCCCTAGGCAACGTAACGATCTTGATTGGGCTCAGCTATACCACCTGTGGGCTCTATGAAGTGATACCTAAGGTAGGTTTGCCAGTCACTGCCTTGGAGTTGTCTGCTCGAGGCATGACAACTGTCCACTTAAAATGGGGTCCCTCAGCCATTGGGCCAGCTAGTCAAGTCAGCAGATGTAAGTGTGTACTCTTGTAGGCCTCAGTGACAGAAGACTGAGAAAGAGCAGGGGGAGGAGGAGGAGGCAGCAGGGGTGTCTGTCCACAGAGCCCATACAACTACAGAAGCTAGACAAAATACAGCCTGATCTAGAAGAAGCTTTCGAGTCAGTTGACCCTGGTACTGACCAGAGCTCTTTTCCTAAATGGCCATGCAGTGACTTTAGCTAAGTGGCTTATTCAGTCTAGATCTCCATGTCTTTAAAGTAGCAATGAAGCCGGGCGGTGGTGGCGCATGCCTTTAATCCCAGCACTCAGGAGGCAGAGCCAGGTGGATCTCTGTGAGTTCGAGGCCAGCCTGGGCTACAGAGTGAGTTCCAGGACAGGTGCAAAGCCACACAGAGAAACCCTGTCTCGAAAAACCAAAATAAATAAACAAATAAATAAAGTAGCAATGAAGCTGAGCACTTCCAGGAGCTGCTGTATGACTTCAAAGAGACAGTACTTGTGAGGTCCAGTGGCTGACATAGTACATGCTTGGGAGCTGGTAATTGCTCTGCTACATACAAGACACAACGCTGCTAGAATGGCCTGTGGACTGCAGCATGCCAGGCCTGACTGCTGGTACCAGGGCAACGTTCATCAAGGGACCTACCTGCATATCCAGAAAGTAGTCAAAGGAGAGAGCATGGCCATGAAAGAGATCAGCGAGTCTCACAGACTCGCCCCAGCTGGGTCCTCTCTGTCCTTTGTTTACTATTTATCCATCTTTTGGTCCATGCTTCCAACAGGAGAAAGTCGTGACAAGCACCTACTCCCCCGTAATGCTAATGAAGGCTGTGAAGAACAGCAAGGAACAGGCCCTCCTGAAGGCCAGCCATGTAAGTCCCCATGGCACGGCCTTTTGGGAGGTCTGTCTGATGGGTTAACCTTCCAGAGAGAAGCCTGAAGAAGACGCTCAGTGAAAGCAAGGAACACACATCAAATATCTATATTTATATCTATATAGATATGTGATATTAAATGTGGTGATGTGCATTGCTTTGAACACTGCCTATGTTAAATAAGTGCTAGCTGTAATGATTTCCTGCCTAACAAGAGGATAGCTTGCTTTCTAGAATAGCCTTAACATTAGGATAAAAGACCTCATTTTGAAAGAATTTTTCTTAAGAAAAAATTTTAACATACACTACAGTAGAGAAAATAGCCCAAGATTCCCCATGTCCCATTACCCAGCTTCAACAATCATCAAGCCATGCCCAATGCTGTTTCATCTGTAAACACCCCCCTCCCATGCATGACCCTCTCCTCCCGCCCCTTGCTGCTGGATTATTTTAAGACAAATCCCACATATCCTATCATTTTGGCCATCAGCGCTTCAGTAAGTATTTTTAAAGATAAGAACGCTTTTAAAAACATGAGCACACTCTGATTAGATAGAAACATTAACGAGAATCCTTTGCTATCCAGTAGCTAGTAAAATTGTCATGTTTTTAAAGCACTCAATCCCAGGGCAGCTATCTGATCTTCCCCGAGTGAGGAAGCAGCCACTCTGGCCCGCTTTAGCTTTAGTCACTGGTGTGCTTCCTGCTTCAGGTGCGGGATGCTGTGGTTGTGATCCAGTACTTGGTCTGGTTGGAGAAGAACGTGCCCAAAGGCACGGTGGATGAGTTTTCTGGGGCAGAACACATTGATGAGTTACGACGGTACAGGACTTATTATCTTTTGGTGCGCGGGGGTGGGGAAGTGAGGAGTAATTAGTCGCCTTGGGAGGAAGAAAGATCCTGCTTGTATTTGGAAGTGAGATTGACAGGTTCGTGGGTGGTCTGGGAGCTGTGCAGGGGGTGTTGGAAGACAATCCCCAGCCGGGCTGAAAGCGGGACAACCCAACAGCACCCCCTAGCGACTGCCTCAGATGCAGCCTGCTCTCCCTGAGAAAGGCTGGATGGAGGCGGGGGGGGGGGGGGGGGGGGGGGGGGGGGGTTGGGGGGGTTGGGGGGACGCTCTTGGGAGCTTCCAGTAGGGAGAAGGCTTCCCAAGGTAGCTTGTGGTACCATCTAGGTTTGAGGTACAAGACATAACACATGGATAGGATGTTTTTCAGATACAGGGAATTACCTTTCTTCTCTCCCGTAAGTAAAATGGAGGCAGAGGGCCAAGAATTGGTATCCATGATCTCTTCTTCTCCGTACTCGAGTACTCTCCCTACATGTGACAGGACAGAACTTAAAGAGGCAGAAGAAGCCAGGCTTGGGTGAAGGCAGCCGGGCCTTCATTTGCTGTGTAAGATATCCCAGTCACAGCTTAGTCCCTGGACAATTCTGTGATTATTCCCCACATTGCCCTGCCTAGGAATGAAGATTTCTCCTCTGGACCCAGTTTTGAAACCATCTCTGCTAGTGGCCTGAATGCTGCCCTGGCCCATTACAGGTATTTCAGAACAAAGAATTTTCTAGAGCACTTGTGAACAGGGATCATGGTTATGAGTACAGGGGGACTGGGGTGAGAAGGAAATACTCTGAGCTCTGGGTAACACTTAGGGTTTGGGGGCTTCAGGATTGTGAGTGGTCAAGGAAGGAACTACTTTGCTGTTTGGAAGCTCATTAAAATTAAAAGGCTGGAGTGTGGCTTTTGTCCCTAAAAGGCTAGGACTTGGGGGTGGGGGGTGCTTGGGTCCTCTAAGGTCTTTGAAGTTTAAGGAAAGCATAGATATTATTAGAAGCTTTTTTTCTTTCTTTCTTGTTGTGAATTATTTCTGTTATTCCTTTGAGATAGTTTTATTGGTTTTTGTTTTGTTTTGAGACAAAGCCTCATGTAGCCCAGGCTAGCCTCAAATTCCCTATGTAGTGAAGATTGGGTTTTACCTCCTGATCCTTCTGCCTCTGCCTCTTAAATGCTGGGATTACAGGTATGCACCGCCACATCTAGCTTGAGACAGGGTTTTGCTTTGTAGCTCAGGCTGACAAAGAACTTGTGATCCCCCTTTGTGACTACAGGTATGAATACCAAAGAAGACCCCATAACAAAAGGCCTGTCTACTTAACCTCCACCAACCATAGTGAAGCCAAAATATGTTAGTCCTCATAATTGATCCCATAGAAAACAAGCCATGGTAGGCTTGCCTGATAAAATTTGGAGGGCCAAGCCGACCAGATGCATCAGGTTGGCCTGGACATGACAGAAAATGTGTCAAATGCCCTCCAGAGAAAGACCTAGCACGTCTGAGAATTCCCTTCCCTGGTGCCTCCGCCCAAGTCTTGCTCATGGGATCTAGAGTGTCAGGGTATACTACCTCAATTCTCTAAAAAGCTGTTCTCCAACCCTACCCTTGAAGTCCCCTCTCTTCCTGTGCCCCTGCTCCTTGGAGTCCTCTTCGATACATCAAGAAGTTACCGAGAAAGAGCTCGAGCCCAGCCCCTCTCTGCCTTGCTGTGGACCTTTTGCAAGCCTCTTGCCTCTGTGGGCTTGTTCTTTTGTGAGCAGAGATGGCTGAACCAAGTAGCCTCTGAGACTCTTAGCTCCCCTCCCTGGGGACCAAGGTCTTGGCTTGGCCACATGCAGGATAAACAGAAGTGTGCTGAGGACAGCAGCTGCCGTTGGAGCCAAGTGCTTTCCTGGAGTCCTTTGGGAGACAGTTGTTTCCCAGAGCAGAGAGCCTGAAGGCTAGCTCCCAAGTGGGGAAGGCATTTTGTTTCTCCTCAGCCCTCATCCTCGTGTCCACCCTGTTTGCCCAGTGCAGGGTTCAGACTCTCCCCTCAGTAGTCATTGTCTTTCCCAGCCCAACTAAGGAGCTGCACCGCAAGCTGTCCTCAGATGAGATGTACCTGGTGGATTCTGGAGGGCAATACTGGTATGTACACCCCATCAGGCCTTGGCCTAGATCTCAGCTCAGACATCCCGGGCTTCCAGAGGTTGGCTAAAGCTGGCTTTCCTGGGTCATAGGTCTTCGTTTGATTAAAGCACGGACCTGCACTGAATAAGCCCTGAGCAGCCTCCTCATGTTCCCACCGGGGGTGCCTGCACAGTAGAAAATACACAGAGATCAGAATAATGGGGGCACTCATGCAACACCTGTGTGGGAATTAGGAAAGGGTTCTACTTGCTTAAGTAATTTTTTCAAGTCTGCAAATTATTTACATGGATCTGCCTGGCTGCACAAACACCAACACCCATTTTCTCACCCACTCATGCAAGCCCTAGACTCAGCCCACATCAGAGCCATCAGACCCATCTCACTCCCTGGGGCAGGATGACTGGCCATGTGAGGTTGGAGATGGAGGCAGATGAAAGAAGTAACCTTTTACATGTGATTCTCTTGTACCGTGTCAACCTAAACAGTCCAGTGTGCCAGTCATACTGAAATAAGCTAACTAGGCATTCCTTCAAAATGTGTGGGCAACCATTCAGTTTCATCCAGTTTCTATCCTGTGGAAAGGGCGAATGCACTAAGAACAGAGACTCTTCTTCATAGCACACCTCTTGGGGAGCCAGCTCGCCATGTGCTCACTTTAGCAGCCTGTACTCACCGCTAGTTTGATGCTGTGTGAACTTGAGATGGCCGCAAAGAGGAAGTAAATTTGTGGGGGCGTGTTGGGTTGGTGCATGCTCAGAAGAGGGTAAGGTAGGGAAATAGTCACCTCACTTCCTCTTCTGGCCTGAGGAAGAAGTTCCCTACGCCCCATGACCTACTCTCAAGAAGCCCCAGAGCCCTGGGATGGGTATGCTTAGTGCCAGCCTGGGGGAACCCCTACAACTAGTGATTGTGAGTTGGACCTGCTAGCTCTGGCTTCACCTCAATGGAATTCCAAGCCATGTTCACAGCAAAGAGCATCTTAGGAGGAGTCAGCATTTTCTCCAGCCTGGCTTTACCAAATCTTAGGGAGTGAGACGGCCTCACAGCCTAATGACTTCGGTGGTCTCATCTTTAGTAAGGAGGCCTGCTCTGAGGTCCTCTGGGGAGCCGCAGAAGTGTCCCATAGATGGTAAATGGCAGTGATTGTGGGAGTGTTAGGACAATGTCACTTTCCTGAACCTCAGTCTCCCCATCTGTAATTTATAAAAGAGAGATGGACAATGCCCTGAACATAGCAACTTTTACCTTACAAACTCTGTTGAGTCTCTTTGGTACGTGGATGCTGAGGTATGATTCTGATGGTAGTACCCATCCTCCTTCCCTCCCCCACTCCCTCCTAGCCAGCCATCTTTCCTTCTTTCTAACATGATCTCCCTGTGTAACCCAGGCTGGATTTTCCAGCCCAGTCTTCCTGTCTTCAACCTCCTGCTTGCTAGGATTACAAGCACACAACACCATGCCTGGTTCTCTGTCTTCCTTTTGCTTCTCACCGGGCCCTATTCCAGCCTGGTCACTCAAACCCCAGGAGAAACAAACAGAAAATACACAGGAATCACTGGCCCCGGCCCCTCCTCCCAAGGGCTCAGCAGAGTTGGATGTGTTAGTTCCCTTTCTCCACAGGGATGGGACCACAGATATCACCAGAACAGTGCATTGGGGCACCCCTACTGCCTTCCAAAAGGTAAGTACCGGACCCCAATTTCCCTCTTCACTTCCCCCAAGTGATCACTTCATCAAGAGCTCTTTCAAATTGAGGGAGTAAGACGGAGGCCTAGAGAGGTTGTGTAGTTTGTCCAAAGTCACACAAGTGCCAGGAAAGCCGGTGCAAAGTTGGGCCACCAGCAAGACCTCAGGCCATGCATCTCCTCTTGGCATGTCACTCCATGAGTGCACAGACATTGGTCATCTGTGTGTCCAGCCTATGCTCTACAAAAGGGAGGGAAAGAGATCTCTAATGGAGGAAAATGGCACAGGGCCTCTCAGAGGAGCTAGAGCTGGTCTGAGAACAGGGACGGCTGCTCAGCTAGAATGGGACCTGGGACACTAACTGGGGGGGGGGGCAGGGAGCTGCTTGCATGCAGCCAGGAACAGAGCAAGGGAAGCCCTGTTGTGCAGGCCTCCAGCAGCTCATCGTCTAGCATGTTGTGGAGTCTGCTTCCTCAGAACTCCAGATGACAAGCCAATGCGGGAGGGTGGGGAAAGGAAGTGACCACATGGCCACTAGTAGTGACCAGAGCAGGTCACCGTTACCAGTCTCTCTCCCCCAACAGGAAGTCTACCCTGTCACATGATCAGGCCCAACCCAAACTTCAGGCCTTAAGAAAACTAAAGGAAGTTGCTAAGACATGGTAGTACGTACTGGGGAGGTAGAGACAGGAAGATTGACTGCTCAAAGCCAACCTTGCCTACATAGAAAATTGAAAGCCTACCTATGAGGGATTCAGGAGTAACCAGGTTAACTTGGCTTGAACATTTTGCTCATTGTCTTATACTCATTGTCCGTCTACTTCAGCCTACAACTTTAGGAATCAGGTACCATTCGCATCCTATTAAATATGAGGAAACCAAGGTATAAATAGGTGAGAGAGAGCTGGGTGTGGTGGTGTATGCCTTTAATCCCAGCACTCCAGAGGCAGACGCAGGCAGATTTCTGAGTTCAAGGCCAGCCTGGTCTACAGAGCGAGTTCCAGGACAGCGAGAGCTAAACAGAGAAGCCCTGTCTCAAAGGGAAAAAAAGAGAGAGATGAGAGAGTCTGTGAGTGGCTGAGCCAAGATTCGAGACTTGAGATGAAAAAGACCTGCCTGCCACCCACTCTGTCACTACCCTCTACAAGCATATTTTCAGCACATGACAGTGAGCCCTGTACATCAGCCTAAGAGAAACACTTGGAGTTGGCCCCAGCTTTGGGAACACCTTCCTTCCCCACCCTCCTTTGGTCATCTTCCAAAACCTGAATGACTACACATGAGAATGTGTCTCCTGTTCCTGGGCCTCCATTCCCATCTGCTCCCAGAGAAAGCATCACGGAGCTCCTTGGCTCCTCCTCCTGTCCTCTCCATCACCTCTTCCTCCTCTCTCCTTACCAGGAAGCATATACACGTGTGCTGATGGGCAACATCGATCTGTCCAGACTCATCTTTCCTGCTGCAACATCAGGTGGATTTCAAATACCAGACTGGACTCAGTCATCCCCACCTCCCAGGCTCGGATCTTATTGGACTCAGATTGCGATCCTGGGGGGCTATGGAACATCCCATCCCTCTCACATAAATGACAAGATCCAGCCAAGACAGAGGACTTGCCCAGGGTCCTACATAGGGTTAGTGGGAGGACTGGGTCTAGCCACTCAGGTCTCCTGCCTCTTAATCCAGTGCTGTCACTCAGAGGTCTGGGAGGTCAGTGTGAACTTCAGAAGTCATATACAATTTTTGAAGGAAGTCACTGTCAAAGTCCTAAGGCCTAACTCATGAAGAGACATTTCATTCAATTTATCAGTCCAGGTGATTAGTCCAATGTATAGAGTACTAGAGACAGTGAGGGGCCAGGCTGGGCTGTGCAGGAGACACTAGCTTCATCCATCAGCCCTTCTCCATCCCACCCCAGTGTCCTCTCAAGAGCTCTTTTTCTCAGGTACCACCCTAGAAGTTAAGTAGGAAAGGCCAAGGTGGACAGTCTAGGGTCCAACCAATGGACCAGGAGCAATCTCTTTTCCCTTTCAGGGAGAATTGTGGATGCTTTTGCTCGAAGAGCCTTGTGGGAAATTGGGCTCAATTATGGTCATGGGACAGGCCATGGCATTGGCAACTTCCTCTGTGTGCATGAGTGTAAGTATCTTCTCAGCTACACTTGTTTAACCCTCTCCTATGAGATAAAGCCTTCCACTGCATGTAAATTACCAACCCAAAGAGATGCACGACCCATCCAAGATCACCAGATGGTGGAAATGATGCTCCAAGGGCTAAATGAAGAATATTGGCCCTGGGCATTCCAGAGGGAGAGCCAGGGCCTGCTGACTATATAGTATATACCCCAGGGAAATAAAGGCAAAGCCTATCTGGTGAATGCTAGTTCCAGATATGACAAGTGCTTCTAGACATAGCTAAGGATCCTCCCTCAGAACCTGCTCACTTCAAGCTGGTGACACATAGAACTGAAACCATGCTTATATCTTCCTTCCCAGGGCCAGTGGGATTCCAGTCTAACAACATTGCCATGGCCAAGGGCATGTTCACTTCCATTGGTATGGTTCTTGAGTCCTTCCACTCTACTACCCCATCCCAGAATGAAGCTATCTGGGAATGCAGGCATACATACCCATCTTTGAGGATCATGCTGAGCATAGGCTTAGCCCCAGCTCTATCACTGCTTTCCTTCCTAAATCTAGACACAAATGGTTATCACACTCTCACTCCAAGCTCCCTCTGCCCATACCCTCTGTTTTCTTGTTTTGTTTTAGACCATCTTATGTAGCACAAGCTGTCCTTGAACTCATTATACAGCCGAAGCTGCCCTTAAGTTCCTGATCTCCTACTCCCGATTCTCTACAAGCATGTGCCACCACTCCTGGATTTTCATAACTCTCTTTTTCTCCTTGGAAAATGGTTTCCAGGTGTACACACAGACTATGGAGTTGTCCATCAAATACTGGGGTAATAGGGCAATGGTACACATGGAGATTGGAACCCTAAGTGGGATCTTCAGTCTTTCCTGCTAGACTACAAGGGAAGGAGAGTGAGGCCAAGTTATACCTGAGAGGACCTGAGGCCTGGCGTCTAACAAGTTGTGGGGCTGACAGAGCCAAAGCCACAGGCAGCTGGGCTGCCAGGCCCTGCAGTTACTTGAAGATTGGTGCAGGCAAGCTGGGCATGGATCTCTCTTATCCATTGCTTAATATCATTCACATCTCTGTGTGTATCTCTTAGAACCTGGATACTACCAGGATGGGGAGTTTGGAATCCGTCTTGAAGATGTGGCCCTTGTGGTCGAAGCAAAGACCAAGGTAACGTGCTGTGGGCTAGAAACATATGGACCACATGGCTCTGCTTTGGGTGAATGGGAGTAAGGAAGGCCGAAGGAGAAGGGCATTTGATGTACAAGCATGAATTTATCGGAAGTCTTTCTTGGCTCCCTAAGAATTCTATAAATCTGTTTCTCAGGCTGCACACTGAAATCAACTGGGAATCTGGGTTTTTTTCTTTTTAAATATCAGTGCCAGGCCCCACTCCAGACCAAGTGAATCAGTATCCCTGCCCTAAATCACTGGTTCTCAGTGCACATAATAATCACCAGGGGAGCTTGTTAGAAATAAGGATTTGATATTATAGCAACCAACAAGATGAAATACCTGAATATAAACTTGAAAAGACTCACACAGAGCAACTCTGCTAAGGGACATAAAAAAGATTTAAGTAAACGGTGCTCTCTGGGAAGAAGCCTTACTATTGTGAACATGTCATTCTCCCTAAATTAATCTATAAATTCAAGACAACCTCGATTTCCATGTTAAGTGGATAGTTTTGTGACTTCACCAATGAAAGTGAAGTTTATTTGTGAAAATAAACATGCAAAATATCTAGGTAGCTAGGGGAAAAAATTGAAAGCTTGAAGAGCAATGAGGCAAACTAGTCCTATCCAATCCTACCATCAACTATCCCAAGGAAAACCAGTTGGAACTGGAGATGAAACAGACAGGAGGAACAATGAAAGCAAACAGCCAGGCCAGAAATAAACCTCCAATTCACATAAACATGGGGAGTTAGCTGCTGCTTCACCACAGGAGGGGAGAGAGAAATCACTCCACAATAGGCAAAGGAATGAATGATTAATCATTGTGGGGAGTAAACAAAATGACGTCACTGTTATAGCAAATGAAATCCCAGATGGACCAAAGAGATTCTGTTATTATCTATTCATTGCATGAAATCGGGGGTATCATGTACCTTAATCATAGCCATACCCCCCTTACCCACTCTCGGCTTCCTCCTCCTGCTTGCTGCCAGATGTACTGAAGTTTCATGGTGAACAATAGGACCACTGAGGCCTAGAGGAAAACCTATATGAATTCATTTACAATCCTGAATGGAAAAGGACCTTTCTTTAAAAGACCCAGAAGTGATGGGGAGGAAAGGCTCATAACTAAGTTAAATAGAAAATGTCTGTATGAAAATCATAGCATAACCAAAATCAAAAGTTCTGTTTCAAGTATAATATGTGCAACAAAGAAAGGATAAATATGCTTAATTTTACTGTGAACTACAAGTTCAAAATTGGGGGACAATGGCAAAGGACATGAAGAGACAGTTCACTAAAATGAACAGTAACTCAATGCATATGAAAAGATGTTCAACTGCATCCTTAAATGTGGATAAATCAAAACAGCAATAGACTAGCAAATCGCTCCCCTGGGTTTACTACCAAGTAAAAGGGGAGGAAGGTATAGAGAAGTATGTATGGTAGGATCCACTTTGTACGACTTTTTAAAACTTGCATATATAGTTATATACAGTCACCAGATTAGTAAAAATCAGAGACTTTGATAATACCCAGTGCCAGTGAGTATGTGGTATGATGAGCACCCTCATTTCCTGTTGAGAGAAGTATACATTGGTGCAAACTTTGTGGAGGATAGTGTAACAATGTCAATCAAAATACCCATTAAAGTTTCTGTGCCTCTCTCTCAGCTGTCCCTCCACCAGATATGTAACATCTGGATATAGTGCCAAAAGGTCATCAAGATGTTTACATAGTATTAGCAACTTGTAGCATTGATAGTAATAGTAAAAAAAATGCAAATAGTTCCCAAACCCATGACTGGTTAAGTAAATCAGGATATATCCCCATGCTTTAGACTTTTATACATCCTTTTAAAAATGGAGTAGATCTTGGGGCTGGAGAGATGGCTTAACAGTTAAGAGTATTTGCTGCTACTGTAGAGTGCCCGAGTTCAGTTCCCAGCATCCACATGGAAGCTCATAATCATCTGGAACTCTAGTTCCTCGGGATCTTATACCATCTTCTGGCATCTGTGGGCACTGGGATGTGACTCGGTTATAGCCCTGGGTTTAATCCTCCAATGAACCTACCAAATGAACTGGTCATCCTACTACTCAGGAGTTTAGAGGCAGAAGGATCAAAAGGTAAAGGTCAGATTCTGCTACATAGTAAGTTTGAAGGCAGCCTAGGCAACAGAAGACCCTAGAGAGAGAGAGAGAGAGAGAGAGAGAGAGAGAGAGAGAGAGAGAGATGAAATAACATTTATAGATTATTTAAACATAGGTTCCAAGGCCCTGCCCTAGAGATTCTACCTGCAGTCCTGCAGTGGGTCTTGGAAGTAGTCCTTGCAACCCAAATATTTAATGTGCTCCCTGCACACTGTTGATGCCCACAGTTTGAGACTCAGACATGAGTCTTAATCTAAATTTCAGGAATCAGGAAGGAAGCTGCAAAGTAGCGCGCTGAGGGGTAGGCAAGAGGACTGGCCAAGAAGGGCCTCTGGAAGGCTCAAGCCTAGCTGCAGTGTCTAGAGCTGGCAAGAATCAGTTCCCTGCACTCCAGGCTTCAGCAAGTTCCTCAATCCCTCTCATTTTCTTACTTTCTACCTTCTCTATGGACTTTCAGTACCCAGGGACTTATCTGACTTTTGAAGTGGTGTCCTTTGTGCCCTATGACCGAAACCTCATTGATGTCAGCCTACTGTCCCCGGAGCAGGTAAGCGTCTTTAGTATCGCCCACTCTTCAGGCAGCTGACTTCCAACCACCCTAGGCCTTTCTTGTCTCTATTCTCCCTACTCCAAGGACTTCTGCCCTTCACTAGGAAGATCCACATTGTGGCACCTTAGGTACTCATCGGGGGCGTATCTTCCCAGCTTGTCAGAGATCCCAAAGCTTCTAGGACTTTCTAGTTGGACCAGCATCCCCAAAGTCAGTAAACCCCTAAGGACTCCGAGACTGGGCTACTTAGCTCTGCCACCAAAAGGCACAGAATGATATGCAGTCCCTTCACCACTCTGGGCCCCAGTCTCCTCTTTTATAAGATGGAGATAACTACTCTCCTTCCTTTTTATTCCTCTGCCAAACATCAACCTCCTCTCCATGAGCATCACCATATTACTAAGCAATCACCACGGGGCACTGCCTTTGGAAAGCCCCAGAAAATGGCAGAGGTCTGGAAGTGGCTGGGACCCTAGTCCACAGTGAAGCTAGAGTACCACGGCAGGGGATCAGACGGTACCAAGACCTCATCTCTTGGCAGCTTAGCTCAAAGCCGCTTCCCTTTGCAGCTCCAGTACCTGAACCGTTACTACCAGACCATTCGTGAGACTGTTGGCCCAGAACTGCAGCGTCGACAGCTGCTGGAGGAGTTTGCATGGCTGGAGCGGCACACAAAACCCCTGTCAGCCTTGGCCCCTCCTTCCACCTCTTTGACTTCTGTGTGGATAGCCTCTGCTCTTGCCATCCTCAGCTGGAGTGGCTAGAGCCGCCGTCCCCCCCGCCCTCCCCGTTCTCCGGTGGACTGTTCAGACTGTTCGCTTGGGTTTGGGATTCATTTGCTCTTGCTTAGCTAGCCTCCCTCCCTCTGTGTTATACATGTCCCAAGAGCCCCTGCTGGCCCATCACCTTGCCGTCACTCTCCGAGAAGCTTCCTCCAGATCCAGACCCCCAGGCAGCACATTCTACCTTCTCCCGGATGTGCATGCCTCATCATGGACTCCCACCCCCCTGGGCCCTGGGATAGCAGAGCCACTGTAGCCTGCTACAGTGAGACCCTGTCTCCCAAAGTAAAGGAGCCTATAGGCTAATGCCCCTATTCATAGGGCTCCATAACCCAGAGGGCCCCATCCTATCCTACTTGCTGAAGAGAGCGAGAGCTGTTCCCACCCACGCTGACTCCAGACTTTCAGGGCTGCCTCGGCCACCCTTATTTACCCCCAGGCCTACAGTGGCCTCCTGGCTCTAGACTGTAGAGTTGAAGGACTATGGTGACTCAGGCCTGCCTGCTCTACCTGTGCAAGGAGGTGGCTGGGTGCTCTGGTTGCAGACTACCACTCTAGCACTGGGGAGAACAGATGAGTGGAAGTCAGCTGTGGCCTGGAACTGGAGACCTGTCAGGAACATGCATCAGTCCTCTCCCCACATGTGAACCCACAGCTCCTAAACCACCAATGTGCTCCTTGACAAGTGATCACGTAGGGAGTTAAGACAGAGGACTTTGCCTGTGAAGAGAGAATGGCAAAGGTACTCTGGAATGTGGGGATCAACCTGGGCAGGATAGCCACACTCTCCTGGACTCCTCTGGCACTCAGGGGGCATTGTAACCTTCTAAGGTGTAGCCACCATGACAATGCTATTAAAGCCTCCCATATCTCTGAAAACCTCTTAACCTTGTGTGGGCAGACTCTGATTCCCCCATTTTATCGACAGGAAAACGGACTTTCAGACAGGAGGTGTGGCCTGCCTGAAGAGACTCAGCACTTGGTTAGGAGATGGGGTTAGGGGATGGGGGCCAGATGGACTGGCATTCCAGCTCCTTTGCCCATCAGCACTGGGGCAAGTCTCTTCGGCTACATGTCAGCCACTGCCTCATTCCCTGAACCCGCTGTCATCAGTGTTTTCTCTGGTCTGGCCCCGACTAGTCGTTAGCCACCTGGCCTCACATCCTGCTAGATGCTTAAAACAACTTTGCAAAGAATGCAAAGATGCCTGCCTCTGGTTTTGCATTGTGTCTGCTGTTGCTGTATTGGAGGAGGCTGCTGGTACCTGTGGCTTTTGTGGTGGGGGAGGAAGAGAAGAGGCTCAGGTGGGGGCAGGGATGTGAGGCTCCCAGAATCTCAGTAGGGAAACACGTGGGCTTGAGAATGTGCTCATGCGCATGCGTGTTAGTGTGTGTGCACGTACTTATGCTCATGGGCATGTGCTCCACGCACAGCCAGCTACCTCCAGCCTGTATGAAGGTTGTTGAAACATCATGAAGGGGCCAGACATGGGTTCATCACTCTTGGGGACTTATTAAGTGTGATCCATAAAAGTTGGAGCCAGCTCTTTTGTCTCAAGGGGGCACATTGAAGGTGAGAATCAAGGTTCTAGAGGCCCAGTGTTCAACAAAGGAAACAGGCTGAGAGTTTGCCTGGCCTGGTCCAACAAGGCCTAATTCTCCAAGTGTGAAAATGATGTATGGAGGCTGGGGAAATAAATGTCTCGGTGGTTTAAAGCATTGCTACACAAGTGTGAGGACCAGAGGTCCTAACCCCAGAAACTCCTATAAATGCTAGATGGGTGTGGAGGCCTGCCTGTAATTCTAGTCTCCCAAGGTGGAGACAGGGCCTCCCCAGAGCAAGCTGGCTAGCAAGACTAGCCATATTGGCAAGCTTTTGGTTTACCAAGAAATCCTACCTCAATGAATAAGAAGAGCCATAGATGATTTCCAATATAAACCTCCTGCTTCAACATGGACATGCACACACAAGCAAAAACATGTACATACACTCCACACACATGAAAAAAAATATATATATGACCACCCAAATTTGCTTCCAAAGGCCTCAGACCTGTCCCGTCCTCACTGAGAAGTCTGGCACAGGTGAGGCTGTTTGAGGTGTCACTTGCTCTCTGAGAGCTCCTACTTATAAAAAGTAAAGTCATCACCATCACCACCGCGTTCTGTACCATTGTGTGGAAAACTTTTCGTACACTGTCCCATTTTATCTTCCCAAGCTATGAGAAGGTATTGGTATCATTCTTATTTTCAAAGTGAGGCAAGTGAGTGAGGCCTTTAGAGACGGGAGAGAAAGCAACTTACTCAAGGTGGCTTTTATATTAAGTCGGGGAATAAAACAGAATTCAAACCAATCAGATGGCTCAAGGACCTGCTCTCTGAAAAGAACAAGAGGGTTATGACTCCTCCCACTTTCCAAATGAGAAAACAGGCTCCGGTGGGCTCACACCGCCGAGGAGAAGCAAATTCCATAGCACCCTGTTTCCCAGGGCCTGCCTGCCCAGGCCTGTCCTGTGTGCCCCGGAACTTGCTCTGCCAGTCATGGGCACTAACCAAGCCCCATCTGCAGGTCCTTCAAGCCAAAACCTAGAGCTCCACCTGATCACCTTCCAATGTAGCTCCCCTGCACTCCCGTCTACGGCTTGGAGATGAAGTCCAGCCTCAGATGCATAGCTGTAGAAGGGTCTCCAGCTAGCCCAGCTCCTCCCTTCCTTGGGACCTGGAGGGCTGGCCATAAGTGTTCCCGTTTAACCGCCTTGCTGTGGGTCAGTCGGAGACACTGAGTGTGTATACAGTTCAGACTGGCACCTGAAGGAGGTCCTGTGACATCATTAGAAATTGAAGATCCAGCGCTCTGCTCCCCAATGGGCTCTAGTCCTGTCTTTTCACACCAGAGCGGGGAGCTTACCACGTGTCCCCTGACCTTATAGCTGCTAGGGAAGCAGGCCAGGTGGAAAGGCTCCTCCTCCCTGTTCCTAGGAGTCAGGTTTCTAGGATTCTAGCCTCATTTGGAGCAGCTGCATGGCCTTGGGCAAGTCACGTCATCTCTCTAGTCCTTGGTTATCAGTTTTGTAAACTACCCATGCAGGCTTCCTGGAGAGGCTGTGGAGAACAGCCCCAAAGACCCGGATGTGGCATTATTCTGTAAATCAGGAAGCTACACAGACAAAAGATAATAATGCTGTTATTCACCTAGCACAAGCTACCTTCAGAGGTAGATGGGAAAACAATTTATTTTGGGCCCAAATTACCTTTTCCCCCCTCCCTCCCTCCTTCCCTCCTTTCCACCCACCCCCACTCTCTGAAAAGGCTGTTGGGGCTAGCTTCTAATTTGGCGTTTTCTAACTATGCTCCCTAGAGCCCGAGTTTCCTTAGAAACGCTGCAGGGCCTGTCACAAAATGCAGAGCTCCAGCAGCAAGCGGCCCTCCTGGGCTTTCCATACAACCGTGCTTGAACAAGTTGAAGGGCCCGATTTGTGGGTGGGTGGCCTGGGCATTCCTTCAGGGACTTGTGCTCAGAGGGGCCTCAAGCTGGTGTCCGTGGTCTCTTCCCAGCTGCCTGTCTTACCGTTCTTTTCTTCCTTGCTTGCTTTTTTGTTTTTGTCTATCTGTTCATTTGTTTTTATTTCTGTTTTTTGAGACAGTCTCTTGTAATCCAAGATGGCCTCAAGCTCACTACGTAGTGGAAGCTGGCCTCGCTTGTTTCTCCACCTTGTTTCATAATTCTTAATACTTTTTAAAAAGAGCCCTGCATTTCCATTTTCATCCAAGCCTGCAAGTTCCATATTCAGCCCTAAACAGTACCTTCATGAACAGAGAGAGAAAAGGACACACCCGAGATCATATAGTCTGCCAGGAGCAAGTATTAAATCCCAGACATTCTGCTTCCGCTCTGTGGTGACTCCTCTCCCTCTTTTTCTCTTTCTTTCTTTCTTTGTATAAAAGAAAGCATTTAATTGAGGGCCTGGCTACAGTTTCAGAGGCTTAGTCCATTATCGTCACGGCAGGGAGCATGGCAGCAGGCAGGTGTGGTGCTGGAGAAGCAGCTGAGAGCTGCATCCTGCTCTGCAAGCAGAGGGGAGGGGGAGGAGAGAGACAGAGAGACCTAGACAGGCGACGAGACAGCCTGGGCCTGGCATGGGTGCGTGTGCTTTTATCCCCTCCCACTTCCACTGTGTGCTTCTGTCACTCCCATGTAGTCTCGAGTGAACAAAATGAGACCCAAGGAGACCTGTTTGAGGCCATGTAACTGCGATGGAAGTGGTAAGGTATTGACATTTTTTGAGACTGAGGTTTCCTATGTACCCCAGGTTGGCCTCAGACTCTATCCTTCTGCCCTTCTCTCCCAAGTACTGAGACAATAGACCACTATCAAGCTCTGCTCTAAGCCACATTTTTGTTTGTTGTTGCTGAGGGTCTTACTATATAATCCAGACGGCCTATAATTCCCTATGTACCCCAGGTTGACCTTGAATTCATGGCAGTCCCCCTGCCTCAGCCTCCAAGTATTGCTATTACAGGCAGTCACTACTTAACTTTCTTTGTGCTTTAAATCTTTTTCAGACTAGGAAAGGATGTGGGCACAACGGCAGATGCATACACAAACACACTTACAGGGCGTTTAAATAGTTCATCTCTAGGTGATACCAAAGTCAGTTCTTACTCCTTTGTAGCCAACTGGCTCCTGCTGGTCATGAGTTGGGCCTTCAGAATGGACTGGCCTATCTAACAGTTAACCCACGTCAGCAGTGAATTTTACCAACTCACTGGGCACTTCCTCAAATAAATAGTTGGGCATTCTTGGTCTCAGAAAAACAGAAAAATGAAGATTTAGTAGCCACTGTTTCCTCTCTGTCCATCCCTGCCCCCACCCCCATGGTTCATCACAGCTGGGAGTGGGAGGTGCTCCCCAAACCCTCACCCAGGCAGCCCTTGCTCTGAGGCTGGCCCATCTCTTAACTTCTGTGTTTCTCTATGAAACAGGAACTTAGCAAGCAGCTTAGGTTTGGTAGGATGGATGGTTGAGAAAACCCCAGTGGGCTGTGGCAAGGCCCTGAAGCTGAAAAACTGGTTTCCCTCCTATCCGGACCCAAGCAGCTTTAGGCTTTTTTACTTGTCAACACCACATATGTTCATTTGGGCAGAGGGACCTTGACTTGGTAAGGTGGAAAGACATAAGCTATAGAGACACACTAGACACAGGTCAATGGGATCATGGGGAGAAGCTTAAAGTGGGCACAAGAAACTAGGAGGTGCCAAGGTGATGTGGGGAGGAGGCAGTAGCTCCAAAATAGTCATCACCAAGGTTATCTTTGCTTTGATAAAGTTAAAAAGAAGTCTCCCAGAGGGAACCTAGAGGAACTGATGTAGGGTCATCCACCAGGGATCAAGCATGTTCCATGAGTTCTCCCTTTGTGTAGGTAATCTGTAATAAGCCTAGCCTGTCTGTCTGTCTCTCTCTTTCTCTGTCTCTTTCTTACACACACACACACACACACACACACACACACACACACACACACACACACACACACAAAAATCAGTTAGTCTTCACTAAGGCACAAATACTGTTACTTGCCCAAGGTTTCACATCCAATAAGAACATTTTGAACTCAGTTCAACCTGCCTCCTTTTCTGGGATGTGTTCTCCTTGTCCTTAGAACCCTCGAAAATTGTCCCCACACCCCTACAGAGCTCATAGATGTTTGTCCTGGTAACCTCGGCACTGAGTTCTAGGCAGAGCAACCCAGCCACACCTAGTCCTCCATAGTAAGGCCCTCCAATGAGTCATTAGCATGTTTTGTTCTGAGCACCAAAGCCCCGCCTCCT